ATACACCAAAGTTAGTCATGGAGTTCCTCAGGGCTCAGTGCTTGTGCCAATACTCTTTACTTTATATATGCTTCCATTAGGTAAAGTTATTAAACAGCATGGGATAAATTTTCATTGTTATGCTGATGTAGATGAACATATACTGTGATATATTCATAAATTAAACAGATTCATTCATTTTTCTGGACTGAATAATGTCGTGCATTTAATTATTAAAAATGTAAAGTGAGACGTTAATTTTCTTTGACCCATCAAAATGAACGTGGTAATTTATTTTCAGAATCAAAATTTAACATCAAACATTTACATTAATTTGGCACAATTGAAAATAACAACAGGTTAATTAATCAGTTTACAATTAGAAGACCATACGGCGATGGTTTTCTTTGCTTCACAACAGACATTTCTGAAAATATCTGGAATGATTTCTAGCAGATAGAAGAATTTTAAAGATGGAAAATGAGGTTTATCTTGAGAGAGATGGGTGAGGGAATTTGTCTGTTATAACCAGAACAACACGCTCCTTCTGGGCCCAGCTTAACCAACGGTACACTTTGCGGTTGAAGATCGACTTTTTACCTTTCTGAAGATATGTCAGTTCCGGCGTAAAGTTCCACTTCAAGCCACTTTTCAGCGTCTCCGTAAGGATAGTAGGGAACCGTTCGGAGTTGTGAGATCATCCAGAACAGACTTCATAGTTCCTCTGAACTTCTCTCGTCCAGCTTAGTTGCAGATGTCCTGAGCATGCTGCATTCCAGCATTCTGAACTCTGCTGCTCTCGGAACTCACAGCATTCTCTCAGCGTTCTCCTCAGCGTTCTTCCCAGAACTGCCGAGAACTTCTCAGAACTTCCCAGAGCTACCGTGAACTAGGAAGTGTTGCACCTTTTAAAAGAGGTCACTTCCGGTTCATTTGAGAACTTTCTGATTGGTCGATGACCAAACAGAGGTGTGTTTTTGTGATGTAGGAGGTTATTAAAAGTCAAGGGAAAAAGATTAGATTGTTTAGGAACAGACAGAAGATATTATGAAGATTCCAGACTTCGTGGAGTCAAC